ATCCAACACATAACTGCAGGGTGTAAGATGCTGGCAGGGAAAGCCTTCATGGAACGCCATAACCAGGTGGCTGGGATAGTCTACCGAGACATCTGTGCAGAGTATTGACTGGAAACCCCAAGGTCAAAATCGGAAACACCTCCGAAGGTGGTGGTGGGATCCAGACTGACAAGATGGTAAAGGCAAACCAACCGGATATCGTGATCATAGATAAAGGGCAGAGGAAAGCCGTTGTAGTGGATGTAGCGGTCCCAAGTGACGGAAACATCAGAAAGAAGGAACACGAGAAACTCGAGAAATACCAAGGGCTCAGAGAGGAGCTGGAGAGAGCCTGGAAGGTAAAGGCGACAGTCGTGCCTGTGGTGGTCGGAGCACTCGGGGCAGTGACCCCCAAACTAGATGAGTGGTTGCAACAGATCCCGGGAACAACATCGGACATCTCAGTCCAGAAATGTGCAGTGCTGGGAACAGCAAGGATACTGCGCAGAACCCTCAAGCTTCCTGGCCTCTGGTAGAGGACCCGAGCTGAATGAGGGATGGACACCACCCGAGGGGTGAGACGAGAATTATTATTATTATTTTTTTTTATTATCATCTGCCAGCAACAGCTATTTGTTGTTGTTGCTGTTGTTTTACAACATATAGCACTTGACGACATACTTGATGAGGCGGGTGCAGTGTTGAAACCGGATGCAAGATTTAAATTCACCTCACTTCACGAATCTCGCCCCTCTCGAGGTCTCTGCCCAAAGTGTGATTCTAAAACTTCATAATGGCATATGTGGTTATGAAATTGCTTTGTCACGATAAACAGTCACAGAGAACACGTATCCGGCGTCAACAAAATGGCAGCGCTAGCAATACTAAGCCAGCATTAGCACTGTAAACAAGCCGACATTAGCCACAGCTGCTACGTTAGTAACGTGAGTCATTTTGTAATGGAGTGTTAGTATAAAATGAAATTTAATGGGTCTCATGTTTTATTTTTCAGAATGTACAATCAGTTAAAACTAAGAAAGAGGTCATAAAGTTGCCCTCCCATGTTGAAATGTTTCAGATTCCAAGTCGACTCTGGATCTTCATCCCTTAGCTCTGCTTCTGCTTGCTGGTCTTTTCCTCAGTTGCTGGAAAACAGAACATGGCCGTTTTTTTTTTTTTTGTTTTTTTTTTTTTTTTAATGTTAATTTCCTGAGGAGGATATTTCGTTATAGATTTAGTAAATCTACTGTAGCCCAAGATCAACCAGGTCAGCATGAGGCTGCGGATGTGCTGGTGATTGGTTAGGAGTGTGCTCACGAGTGCAAAGCAAATGTCAAACCTCATAAGTCACACCTTCTGTCGGGTCGCTATTCCTCGAGGGTTCTCGTTTCTTAAAAATCTAATTAAAGGTACAAGCTTTGATCTGAAAGGGCTGATTTTTTTTTCACAGATCATTTGACAAGGTGTAATGACAATTGCAACAAATATAGGCTGTCAAAAATTGCCAACTTCCCTTTAAGGTACCTAATAATTTTGTGCTTTATGAACGAGGAGATGGCCTTTAAGTTCCAATATTTTCATGGGGCCAGTGCAGTAACACTACACTCTGAAAATGGTTTGTTTCAAAGTTACCCAATTTGGGTGAAATAGCTATCCCACCTCTGGGTGCAAAAGGGCCTGAGCCAATGCTGGGTTATTTGTACCTACTACAGTGTGTTGAGATTTGTTCCAGCAAGATTTTGATCTAAGAAGGTAAAAACTTCTCATGCTCTCAAATTCTGTCATGTAAAACCAGTGGAGGAGAAATGTCTTCTTCAAATTCTTGTCAGCTCTTGTGCAACAACATTTTGGACCACCTTGGGAGTCTGTACATGGTCCCTGTAAGAGGCACCACAATCCAGCTCAAAGGTTATTAAAGTCATACATGTGTTTTTCAATCCATCCACCTGATATATTGTGGCAAAAACAAATCATGCCATCCTTTCCGCCAGCAAAAAGGTTTACAACTCTACTGCTTGATCTTCTGTGTACTCTGTGAAAGGTCTTGTGATCTTTGCTTTTCATCGTGGCGTGTTGTGTTTTGGCAGTGGGACATCGAAAGTCACCAAAACACATTCGGACAGCTACAAGAAAATGTAAGCTCACTAATCGCTTGTATTGACTGTGAAGAAATGCGAATATGTTCTCATGAGGTGTGTGTGTGGGTGTGTGTGTGTGTGTGTGTGTGTGTGTGTGTGTGTGTGTGTGGTCCTTAGCGCTCCCCACACGGTGAAGTCCTCTACTGAGGAGCTGGACAGCAAGATTAGCAGTGAGGAGCAGTTGAAACGGTAGGACACGTATGCACGCTCCCAGTCCAATTTAAACCTTACCTTACCTGCTGAGAGATTGCATTAACGCCACACTGGCTCCTTTTTTTTCAGCACGGCAGCAGCCAGCAAAGTCCTGGACAAATCTGCACCCAGACAACGGTCTTATGTGCTCTCTGCCGCAAAGAAATTTGAGTACGTTTTGACTTTCTGCTGCCTTGGGAAAAGAAGATCTTGCGTGTCCTGCTCCTAAAAGTCTCAATGTCCCCCCTCCCCACCCCCCAATATACAGGGCTCAAGCAGCTGAAAATTCAGAGACCAAAGAATCACGCTCATTTGTGGCAAAAAGGTAAATTGCACTTCTAAAACGGCATTCTTTGCGGATGAAGATTGCACTGCATGATGCATCACAGCATAGCACAGCTGTCCTCGGACATCTTGCAAATATGGCCCCTGTATTGTATTGCTCATCAGTACATTCTTATGAGATGACCAGAATGTGCGACCGTGTGCGGTGATTTTACAGCCATGCCATGACACCATTCAGTGTTATGTCCTTTTTATAGTGCAATCACACTGAGGGAAAGATATAGTATTTCAGCACCCCAATGTTTGGATGAAGAAAACTATGTCAAACATCTCAAAAGTTGTTAAGTACGATAAAATCATCACTTTTTATTATGATTAATGCTTTAATTTCTCAGTATTTGTATCATACAAATCCATTTAATTTCTTTTTCAGATGATTTGTCCAGATATATTTCATAACACAAATTTAACTTTGTTTAAAAAAAAAAAAAGAAATAAAGCAAACATACAGTAAAGCTTCCTCAGGAACAGGAAGTTGTTTTTGGCGTGATATGATCATCAAGTGGCTTTTTTATGGAAGCTGCATACGTGATGTCACACTCGATAACGATTTGAGGACAAGTCTAGTTTAACGTTTGACAAGCAGTGCTCAGCCGCCAGGTTTAAAATTGTCTCGGTGCCACAGCACCACTTTTGCTGAAATGAAGATCCTCAACTCACTTTAACACATTCACAAATTGCCGAATTCCCCAATGCTAAGCTGCTAATATTCATACAGCTTCAATGCATATTTTTCCTGTTCCACTTTGGAGGTTCTTCTGTATTTAAAAAAGTAATAGCACAATAACATAAGGGTGAATGTTTAAGTACAGACACTCAACGACTGCCTCAAACACATCAATGTGTATACGTTAGTATGTGTTGTTTTGTGCTCCAAATGTGCAGGGTGGAGATTGAAGATGATGCCTCCGTGAGCCCTGTTCTCCCCTCCCCAGTCATCCCCATCACATCTGTCGCATTTGTGCCAGAACCAGCCAAGACAGAAACCATGTAAATCCTTGGCCAAGTGTCTCTTGGAACTGCATTAGGCGTCATCACTTCCTCTCACCGACCGTCTCATTGACAGAGTCAGCTCGAGCGTCAAGACAACCGTCGTCACTGTTAATGAGCCTCCAAAAGCGGAGGTGGCCCCCCCTGAACCTGTGAAAGAAGACCCCCCTCGAATGTCTGCTGTGAACAAGGACCCGTTGGAGGACATGAAACCGGACTGCACCAAGGTGGCCGCTCCCCTCCCCGAACTCATCACCGATTATCTTCACGTTGTTTCCACCCATTCAGAACACAATGATTCAGAAGCTCCCGACACTCATCTCGTCACAATCAATGAAGAACCAGAGCTTTTGGAAAACTCAAGGTCAGAAATCTGTCGTGCTAACCTGAAAGTTACTTTTGTGTGACCCTCACATTCAAAAAATGTTTCCCTTTGAATGAATCAGCATAGTTACACATTTGTATTTGTGCACTAGCAGAGAGATATTTATTTGGCCATTTTTATTCTTGTTGTTGTCAAACTGCTTTGGAAGCTGTTTCTACTATAGAATTATTGTTGCATTGTATTTTAGAATACCTCGCTACCTGTCATGATCTTCAACACCCTCATTTTGAAAAAAAGTGTTCACTATTATTGAAATAATTAGCGCGCCGATCATTTTTGAAACGAAAGGAAAATTAAAGTGCTGCTCATCAGAATTGCAACTCACTGTTCAAGTGTCAGGTTTCACAGTTGGAAGCGGCACAAATGTAATGGAAAAAAAGTATATTGATGTGTCATGACTATACAGTATATTTTCCGTATTGCACTGCAATTGTTTTCTTTGGTGAAAATTTAGAATTTCAGTGGGTAACTGTGCTATGTGAGTCTTTCAATGGTATTTCAGTGGCATGCTTGCATTCCATCTCGACAAACGTTGCAAGGAGACTTTGACCTGGAATTTCATGCATATAATTTATCTTTACAGCTCGAGAGTTGAAACGCTTACCGCCATGTATGAAAACCTCATTCCTAATGACTCAAACTCCACCAGGTATTGGCGTCAACACATCCTTCAATACATGATATGTCCAAGTATTTTTACGGCCTTCGTTTCGGCTCTTTGTGCCTCCAGAGAAAAAGATGTAGCGTTGCTTTTTCACAACTTTAATTTGTCACCTGTTTGTAGATGGAAGCAAGCAAAAAAAGAAAAAAAAACTTTCCTTTGGCAATAACATGTCTAAGCTTAGCATGCCATCTGATAAGATTTTTTTTTTTCTTCTTCATTTCCACTTCAGCTTGAGGGATGATGAGCCAGGGCTGGCAAAGGAAGAGGAAGGCTCTGCGGACGCTTGCTCAGAGGAAGGGTACACAACCAAAACTACTTTCCCATTCATTTCACAGCAGTGTTGGCAAGAAGACACAGAATGGCATTTGGCCACTGTGTTCACTTCAAAGGAGTCACATCTCATTTACTGCTAGCTAAAAATACCTGTCAAGAGTTACTTCCAAATTAGAAATGACTAAAGAGATGTGCGTGTGCGTACGTGTGCGCGTGTGTGTGTGTGTGTGTGTGTGTGTGTGTGTGTGTGTGTGTGTGTGTGTGTGTGTTTGTGCGCAGGCCAAAATAGTTTCAGTGATCTGTTTCCTTTATGTCATTAGAAAGGAGCAGTATCCAGATCCAGTTCTCAGCAACCATGAAGCAAGAACAGAGGATCTCTTGAATCTCACTTCTGGGTTTGTTAAATTCACACAGTCAAATGAAAGACATCAACAATGAGAACACCAGTCACAAGGTGGCACTGTTGAGCTTCACATGCTGTTGTATTCCGTCCCTCTGCTCTGAAGTCAATGACCTGTTTACCGCTCAACAACACATCGTGTAACATATCAAGAACATACATGCATAACTTAACACACCATTTATCCTCCACCTGATGGTATATACGGGAACCTTTCTTAGTCAGTCTGACTTCCTCAGTCAATCCCCCCCCCCCCGTATATTTATTTTTTTATTCATCCTGTTATTTTTTCTGTTATCTTTCCCCATCTGCAGTCAAGAAGAACCTGAAGAGCCTGCTCCCCCCAGCCCCGTCCGTTGGAGTGAGGATCTGCACACTGAATTTGAAAGGTACAAGAAAAGCCCCCCCACCCCTCCAAAAAAAAGAAAATGAATTTTTCGAATGTTCCAAATCAATGCTTTTGTTGACAGTGGCAATGTATTTACATATTGTGCATGTTGGATGCAATGCTTTACACTACTCTTTATTTCATCTCCAGGAAAGACCAGTAGTTCCGCAAATGAATGCAATTAAGAAAAAAAAACAGCATGTAGTGAGGAAAATTATCCCCCCTTTCCCCTTGCGATTTGTATTTATTTTTTTTCTTATCTTTCCCCCTCTACAGTCAAGAAGAACCTGAAGAGCCCGCTCCCCGCAGCTCTGTCCGTTGGAGTGAGGATTTGCACACTGAAATTGCACGGTACAAGAAAAGCCGCCCCCATTTTTAGAATGTTGCAAATCGATGCTTTTGATGACAGTGGCAATGCATTCACATATTGTACATGTTGGATGCAAAGCTTTACACTTCTCTTTAGTTCATCTCCGGGAAAGACCAGTAGTTTCGCAAATTAATGCAATTAAGAAAAAAAACAGCATGTTGAAAAAAGAAAAAAAGCAGCACCTTGCAATATGTATTTATTGTTACTCTTATCTTTCCGCTTCTGCAGTCCAGAAGAACCTGAGGCGCCCGATCCCCCCAGCCCCGTCCATATGAGTGAGGATCCGCACACTGACTTTGAAAGGTAAAAGAACACCCCATCTCAAAAAAAAAACCAAAAAAATCAACTTTATAATGCTCCAAATCAGGGGCGTCAAACTCATTTTTGTCAGGGGCCACATTGTCGTTACGGTTTCCCCTTGGAGGGTCGGTATGACTGAATTTTGTATAACCACTTATGTATTTTCCGCACTATAAGGCGCACGAAAAGTCATCAATTTTCTTAAAGGCTCCCAGCACGCCTTAAAATCCGGTGCGCCTTGTGTATGGTCATTATGGTAATATGACAACCCCAAAATGGCTCCTTGCTGGATACATGCTTACAATGTTATAACTTGCTGTTGGTTCAGTGAACTGTGTCGCTGCTTTATTAAATAACTTTTTGTTGTAGCTCCGAAAAAAGGAGAGCTGTGGTGTTGTTTTTTTTAAAACGCACACTTTATTAATGGTTTTCACAGGCTCAACAAATGCAGGTACGTCTTTGTCCGACTCCGTGCTTTCTCTTCTTTCGTTCGACTCGAAAGGCGTTCATGACCGCCTCCAAAAAACGTAAATTAACAATTCCTTCAATGAAACTACGAAAATTGAAAACAATGCATCAGAACAGAAAATCAAATGAAGAAATCACAAAATAAATTCTATAGCCCCCCTACAGAATTTATTTTGTGATTTCCTCGTTTGTGAATACAGTACACAACAAAGGAATAAATAACAAACACTTCTGAGACAGTCCAGTCCCCTACATTTCTCTGACATCTCAAGTCAAGTCAAGTACAACTTTATTGTCAAATGTGCTGCATGTGCAACATACAGCACAGATGAAATTTCCTCCCTCTTAAACAGACAACAAGACAACATCTGATCGTTCTGTTGGAGCTACGCTCAAGGAAATGCCAAAATAAATTCTGTAGGGGGGCTATAGAATTTATTTTGTGATTTCTTCATTTGATTTTCTGTTCTGATGCATTGTTTTCAATTTTCGTAGTTTCATTGAAGGAATTGTTAATTTACGTTTTTTGGAGGCGGTCATGAACGCCTCTCGAGTCGAACAGAAGGAGCGTAGCTCCATCAGTGGATGCATTGTAGATTGTGCCTTATAATCCAGTGCGAAAAATACAAAAATACGGTAAATGTTTAACCACCTCCACATATTACAGACACAACGAACAACAAATTGATGGATATCTTATTTTGAAATCAGAAGACAAGAATAATGGCTTGTTCAAATATTGTTATGAATTAGATATGACAATTTGAAATTTTGATTCAGACTTTAGCAACTCTCATGGGAGTTGACATGCTTGATTTGTCTTTACGGGCCACATAAAATGATGTGGCGGGCCAGATGTGGCCCCTTGGCCTTGACTTTGACATCTGTGTTCCAAATCAATGCTTTGTTGACAGTTAAATGTATTTACATGTTGTGCAACCTTTACACTGCTCTTTATTTAATCTCCGGGAAAGACCAGTAGTTCCGTAAACTCATACAATTAAAACACACACACACACACACACACACACACACACACACACACACACACAAAATCATGTAGTGAGAGAAATGATTGCCCCCTTTGCCCTTGCGATTTGTATTGATTCTTCCTATTATCTTTCCGTCTCTGCAGTCTAGAAGTCGAAGAACCCGATCCCCCCAGCCCTGTCCGTTGGAGTGAGGATCTGCACACTGAATTTAAAAGGTACAAGAAAATCCGCCCCCCCCCAAAAAAATAATTTAATATTCCAAATTAATGCTTTCTTTGTCATCTGCATTGTATTTACATATTATGCAAGTTGGATGCAAAGCTTTTCACTGCTCTATATTTCATATCTGGTAAATGCCAGTAGTTCTGCAAATGGATGCAATTAAGAAAAAAAACTGCACGTAGTGAGAGAAATTATCCCCGTTTTCCCCCTGCGATTTGTATTTATTTTTCCTCTTATCTTTCTACCTCTACAGTCAAAAAGAACCCGAAGAGCCCGCTCCCCCCAGCTCTGTCCATTGGAGTGAGGATCTGCACACTGAAATTGAAAGGTACACGAGTTCTAAAAAAAAATAAATAAATAAAATAATGTTCCAAATCAATGCTTTTTTGTCAATGGCAATTTATTGACAGATTCTGCACGTTGGATGCAAAGCTTCACACTGCCCGATACAGTGCTCTTCTACCACGAAATCATGTTTGCAGCAAATTTTATCTCAGATGTAAACACACACACACACACACACACACACACACACACACGCACACACACACACACACACACACACACAAAACATATATGTGTACTCTTTATTTTTATTCCAATACTGTACATAGTGCATAAATATGAGCATACACTTATTTGATATTTTATAACATTAACATACAATCGTTTTATATAAATCACTCCACTTTGTCTGTTGGTTTTAAAAAAAGTCATTTACACTCTTTTGCTTCCCAACACATCTCAATTTCTTGGATAATGTCCTTTATTTTGCTTCGTCCGTCTTTCATTTTGATCACTTTTACCCTCTCTTCCAGCGTCACAGCTCTTGTCTAAGTTGCTTGACATCCATAGGTCCGTTTCGTAGCCATTTTAGCAATGCAACATCCGTGCTGCGTCTGAAACAAACAATAACAAATACTTCCTGGACTACTGCGCATGTGTAAACCAGTGTAGTGGTTGCTGTTGCCGTTTCCAAATGAAGCAGTAAAGGTCGCTGTTGGATTAGACTTTTGTGGAAGGCTTGTTTTCGTTGTAGTGAATCTCGTCGCGATGCAAGAGCAGAGAAAAAGATTTCGTATAACGGAAGGCGGAGCAGAAAAGTGGGAATGGCTTTCATGCGTGAAAATTTTTTCAAAATGGGGGGTATTTTCACCCATGTAGGTTTCGTTGTAGAAGCGTTTCACTGTATTTCATATCTAGTAAATGCCAGTAGTTCCACAAATGAATGCAACTAAAAAAACAGCATGTAGTGAGAGAAGTTGTTCCCCCCCACCCCTCCTGCTTTCCCCTTGCAATTTGTATTTATTTTTTTCTCTTATCTTTCCACCAATACAGTCAAGAAGAACCCGAAGAGCCCGCTCCCCGCAGCTCCGTCCGTTGGAGTGAGGAGCTGCACACGGAATTTAAAAGGTACAAGAAAAGTCACCCCCCCCACCCAAAATAAAAAAAAAAAAAAATATATATATATATCTTCTGCGCAGCCACAGCTCAGATGCATGACTGCTTTGAGGTATGTATATATAGATATAGATATATATATATATAGATATATAGATATATATATAGATATGTATGTATATATAGATACAGATATATATATATAGATATAGATATATTTATATATACTGTATGTATATATATGTATATGTTCCGAATCAATGCTTTCTTTGTCAATAGCAATGTACTGTATTTACATATTGTGCAAGTCTGATGCAAAGCTTTACACTGCTCAAAATTTCATATCCAGTAAATACCAGTAGGAGCGCAAATTTCATACAATTTTTATAAAACGCCTCTCTTATATTTCTGCCTCTCCAGTCAAAAAGAACCTGAAGAGCCCGCTCCTTCCAGCTCCGTCCGTTGGAGTGAGGAACTGCACACTAAATTTGAAAGGTACACGAATTCTGGCCCCCCCCCAAAATAAATTTTAATGTTCCAAATCAGTGCTTTTGTTGTCAATGTATTTACATGATGTGCAAGTTGGATGCATGCAAAGCTTTACACTGCTCAATAGTTCATGTCTGGTAAATACCAGTTGGGCGGCACAGTAGTCGACTGGTGATCGTGTCGACCTCACAGTGCAGAGGTGAAGGGTTCAATTCTGGCTCTGGCCTTTCTCTGTGGAGTTTGCATGGTCTCCCCGTGCCTGTGTGGATTTTCTCCGGGTATTCCAGTTTCCTCCCACATTCCAAAAACACGCATGGCAGATTAATTGATCACACTAAATTGTCATTAAGTGTGATCATGAGCGTGAATGGTAGTTATGGTTATGTGTGCCCTGTAATTGGCTGGCAACCGGTTCTGGGTGTACCCGCCTACTACCCGATGATAGCTGGGATGGGATCCAGCATGCCCACGATCCTTTTGAGGATAAGAGGATTAGAAAATGGATGAATGAATGGATAAATACCAATAGTTCCGCAAATGAATGCAATAAAAAAAAAAAACACCATGAAGGGAGAAAAATTATCTTCCTTTTCCCCTTGCGATATGTATTTATTTTTCCTCTGAATTTTCCGCCTCTGCAGTCAAGAAGAACCTGAAGAGCCGGCTCCTTCCAGCTCCATCCGTTGGAGTGAGGATCTGCACACTGAATTTGAAAGGTACAAGAAAAGTCATCCCCCATACCCCTAAAAAAATATTTTTTTTATAATGTTCCAAATCAATGCTTTCATTGTCAGTGTCATTGTATTTACATGATGTGCAAGTTGGATGCAAAACTTTCCACTGCTCTTTCATTCATCTCCGGGAAAGACCAGTAGTTCCGCAAATGAATACAATTTAAAAAAAAAAAAAAACAGCATGTAGGGAGAGAAATTGTGGCAAAAGCCTTTGCTCTCCATCTATGTCTGCACCAGGGTTATAATAGTTTGGCATTTTTCATTATCCAGTAGTAAGCTTTTATTTTGTTTTGACTTCATTTAAAAAGAAATAACAATACCTCCTACACTACTAATTCTAATCAGCACATACATCTACCGCTCTGTAAACAACTCTATGCAGTGTCTTTTCTGCTGGCTATTTTCGCATCGCTTCTGAGCGCAGAGAGGCGATGTTTACATGATTGTGAAGAGCAGCATGGTAAATCTCTAGAAAGGCATTTGGTACAACCTGTTGAAAATGCATTCTGGCCAATAACCTTTGCTGAAGCCCATTGGTCTTCAATATCCCATGCTGCTCAACGTGAGATATGAATTCAGAAACAAAAGTTTCTTGAAGCCGATACTTGGAAAGAGGAAACAACATGTTGTCTGCACGGCCGAAAATAGAAGAGAATGTTCTGTTCTCATGAAGTATCACTGCTTTGTTTGTCTCCGCCAGGCTCAGATACACCCGGTTACACTGAAAACAAACCAGTTAGATGCAATCACACGACTTCCTGGTCGAAAATAGTTTTTGATCTGACGACTTGTAAAATAATCCGTACTGACTCTGAATGCCATGTCTTCTCTGCCCGTCAGCAACACAGAGACTGTCACTATAACCTCCCAAACTGTCACCATTACTGAGAACAGGTATGGCAAGTGCACCCCTCGCCCCACACACACACACACACACAAAAATCCATTCTGTCCTGGTTTGCAGGCTAGTCAAATAGTTGCATGTCTGTCAGTACTCTCAATGTAAATAGTGCATGAGAAGCACCACAGTAACCTTTGCCTGCCCTCTTTTCTCCGCTCATCACGTCATTCATGCGGTCCCTCGCTCCTTACCTCTCCATCTCGCCACCACCACGCAGGGAGGAGCGTGACCTCTTGAGCTCACGTGTGACCACCACCGTGACTGAGTTGAGGTACGGTAGTTTGACTTGCTTTTTCTGGGCATGTTTGGTTTGATGTGGGGTACATCAAGCTGACGATGAAGGCTAATGCTGATGACTAAGGCTGTGCAATTAATCGAAATTGCGATTTGGGCTTCTCACGATCAGAAAAAGATTAGAATCGAAGAAAACCAATGTGTAGGATGAAGTACTCGTGTTTGTGCAAGTTCCTTTGTTTTATAAGCACCATTTTGCTGTGCTTGTGTTCTTTTGGTGAGCATGTTTTCGGCTGCTTAATGACGTCACAGTGTGACACAGTGTAAATTTGTAATACAAGACATTCTTTGTTTAAGAGACACTGGCAGCTTATTGCTAGCTTTCACTGGAAAACACGAATGACGAGCTAACATTTGATCTGTCAGGAAGGCAAAATTGTGTGTGTGTGTGTGTGCGTGTGTGTGTGCATGTGCGTGTGCATAATGGACTCTATGCACGCATCATTTCCGCTTCTTGGATACGGAGGTGTGCTACCTTCCGGTCGCTAGTCCAATGCATAGCGATTGCATCGAACAATCTGCTGAAATGTGTGGATATTATTATTTTACTTTGTGAACTGTTTTGTTAAGTGCTTTGTTACAGCTGCAGCTGTTGTGAAAGTGCTATATAAATCAGGATGTATTGTATTGTATTGTATCCAAATGTTTCCCAAACTTGACTGAGCCAAGATACATATTTCATGTAGAAAAAAAAAATCTCAGCACACTACTTCAGGCCCTATCCCATTGAGGGTGACTGTTGGCGAAGGTAGAAAAATGCATGTTCATGTCAAAGTTCTTTAGGGTTCGGTCAAGGTCACTAATGTTCACGAAACACTCGCCTAACATTCCCCAAGAGTTTTAGTCATTTTTCTTATGGCAAGGCAAACTGACATTAACGCAACGTTCGCTGCCTTCGAAAACACTGGCCATTGCCCGCCGCTCAGTGGGATAGGAGCTTTGGCAAAACAATGCACAAAAAGTGGATACATGGGTTAATTATGTACTACACCTTCTGTCATCTAGTGGAAGAGTATTTTTATGATCTGCCTGTTGTTAGTGTGGTTGGCATGGATAAATGAACAAAAACGTTTTGTTAAATAGAAAAGAAATAGTTTTTCATCCAAATAACTGACGCTGGTAATTTGCTGCGGCACACACTGTCCTCATGCACCACGCTGCCTCTTAGAGGCCAATGTGTGCATGGCAGGCAGACGTTTTTATCTATTGTTTTTTTTGTTTTTTTGCTGCCATTATTTTATTGTTGTTTTACTTGTTACTGGTTTATGTATTGGTTGTTCTTTAAAGTTATATTTCAATAAATAGAAAGATTTGAAATCAATGAATAATCGTGTCAATTAATCGGGATTTCAACATCAATTGAAATACGATACAATACATCTTTATTCATATGGAGCGCTTTCACAATCATCGTGATTTTGTTTTCCATAATGGCCCAGTGACACCCCCCCACCCCACCCGGCCATCTCTGTTTCTGTTTACAATTCATCCTGCATCTTCCCATTAAGAGTCAATGTGACAACAGACGCGTCGTGCTGACAATTGAGAGTGAAATCAGTGTGAAATTGTCTTTCAGCTCGACTGATCCATTTGATCCGTACCCGATAGGGACCACATCCCGAAACAGGTAATCATATTGGTTTGGGAGCTGTGACAGTGGCGCAGCTCTCGTCATGCATAATGCAGCACAATGTGATTACGAGTCCCTTTTCTCTCCTGCAGCTCCTCTGACCTGCTGCAGCCCCTCTCTGATATTTCCATCAGCAGGTACAGAATGGATCGCCCAAATTCCACCTTCCTCTCTCGGGAGTGCTGTTTGTGCTGCTAATAGGAGGAGACAAACTTGTCGTGATGGCGACTACAACAGTTTCATTGCGTAGTGTATAACTGCTATCGCGCTCCAATGTGTTCCCGTCAGAATTCTTGAAATAATTACAATTAAATGGACTATTTTCAGTGAAACCCCTAAAGTTCAACACAAGGCTTTCAGCAATGCTGGTTTACTAATAATAAATCAATTTGTTTCAGTTTCACATTATTGCGGTCATAAAACCTTTAACTGTGCAAGCAAGGTTTACAACAGTTTTATCACAAATGAAGATGAGTGAAGCCTGATGATAGCTACGTAAATTTATTGCTCATAATTTACAGGGGAAAAAAAACAAAACAAAGAAAATTGTTCACCCCGAGACATATTGTAACATAATAAAATCTTTAAACTGACTATTGGGTTAAACTTTTGAGGTTTCACTGCAAATATTAATTTTGATTTTAAATCGCTAAAAAGATACGTTTTCTGCTCGTGTGCATTAATTTTAGGATTAAATCTCACATATTGTGAGAATTCTGACTTTACTTTGCCAGCATGAAATGTAATCAGTCTTACTTATAGTTTTAATTCAGATGTTATGTTCTTCTTTAGTTCGCCACATACTTTCATGGAGAGGAAAGACCCAGAGATCAGGTCAGTTTTTATATCTACAGCAAGCCAACACCCAGTAAGCTTTTAAACTATGTGGTTTCTTCAAATTAATGCATTACCATACATCTTTATTGATGCAATAACTCCTTACTTTATTAAATGCATATTTCTTTGAACTATCACACATTTTTCAAATGCCGTGACATACATTAGCAAATTAATTTGAAATGATCAATGGCGGGCAGCCCGGTAGTCGAGTGGTTAGCATGTTGACTTCACAGGGCAGAGGGACCGGGTTCAATTTCAGCTCCGGCCTTCCTGTGTGGAGTTTGCATGTTCTCCCCGTGCTTGCGTGGGGTTTTCTCTGGGTCCTTCGGTTTCCTCCCACATTCCAAAAACATGCATGGCAGGCTGATTGAACACTCCAAATTGTCCCTAGGTGTGAGTGTGAGCGCAAATGGTTGTTTGTCTCTGTGTGCCCTGCGATTGGCTGGCAACCGGTTCAGGGTGTCCCCCGCTTACTGCCCGAAGACAGCTAGGCTCGAAGAAGATAGACCCTAGTGAGGATCAAGCGGTTCGGAAAATGAATGAATGATTAATTGGCAAAATAACTTGATAAGGCCATCAGAGTTGATTTGATGTCTTTTGATAGCTAGATGAATTCATTATCATACCAGAACTGGAAGCCAAGTTAACTGGTTAAGGGGATTTTTAGGTGTTGTTCACCTCAATAAGGGCCGGGATATAAAACAAAGATCTCCTCATTATCCATCTGTCCATCCATTTTCTATCGTGGCTCTCTGCACCTGGTGTGCTTTGGGTGAAAGGTGTAGCACACCCTGGACTGGCCTGGCCACCAGCCAATCACATGCCACACGACTAACAGCCACTCACATTGACATTCACAACCATGAGCGACTTTGAGTCCTCAATGGACCTACCATACAAGTTTTTGAATTGTGCACATGCAAGCTCCACACAGGAAGGCCAGAGCCAACCCCGAACCGCAGATCTGTGAGACAGACATTAATCGCTGTCATGTTCCCCACCATATTACATCGTTGCAATATTACATTAGGTAAATGCTAGAGATGTCGACACAGAATAGATACTTCAGCAATACATTTTAAAAAAGCGCACATACAAATTGTCTCAAACTGATATAGAAATATACTTACAAACAAGTGTGTGTGTGTATGTATGTATGTGTGTATATATATATATATATATATAAATATATGTTCATTTTCCCCCTTTTTCTTTGTTAGCTCCAATTTAAATGATACTGTATGATACTGTATTGCTCAATCTCTGACAGTTTTTATTTTAGGTCATCTTTTTTGGAGTGAAACTCTTCATGGGTTTTTACCATCAAAATTAGCAAATACTTAAACTTAGCCATGACATTGACACTAATAGAAAGTGTTGGGGAGGATAATTATGCTGGATCAGTTTGGGGTATACAGGGTACAGGATGGTGTATCGGTTAGAATACAGGAGACAGGTATCTTGAGGTAAGGCTCTTTAATACGTGGTGGAAGGCAGGTTTGGGAGATGGAAGACAGATTGTAGGTGACTCAAGGTGGGTTTGGAAACGGAATATAGAAGGTAATGGTCAGAGGTGGAAGGCAGGCAGGGGCAGAAGGCATATGTAGATTTTAGGAAACTTGATGGTAGAGTTTTTTGGTCATGAGCTCTTCGAACTTTACGAACTTAAAGGCGAACGACCATGTGCGAGGACACCACGAATACTGAACTGCTCATGCGCAGCAAATGCAGCGTCATCAGATGTAGTTTAGCACTCGCACAACAGGAGGCAGCATGGGAACACAGGGAAATTACAACACTTAAAATGCTTCAGCAATTCAATGTCTCTGAGGCTTTAATTCAGAAAGCGAACATCATCAATCGCACAGTAAAAGCGAATGTGCTGGACGCTTTATACAATTTTTGTGTAATTGTACATTTTACAAATTTTATTGCCTGGGTACACAAATGTCACCAATTTGTGGGATGACCTCTACGTATAAAAATGAATGTAGAGAGACTCCTCTGTTTTAGTGCCTATGGTTTAGCTCATGATAAAGTGTGTTTGCATGATTACTTATTGGGCTGTGCAGACTAAAATGGCGAGTCCATACGGCGACCGACGTAGTTAGTCCCTTCTTGCGTTTCTCCCCACATCGACAAACATTTTTGATTCATGACCTTGTTAAATGCAACCAGTGGGAAACGAGTTTGCTTGTCAACAAGTTATTTACGCTCGTTAAAATTCAGTTTGACGTTTTCTCTCGAGGCGTCACAATTACTAACCTGCTGGTCACTCTCAACTCGTACTGTATGCTGCGGACTTATAGGAGGCAATGCATGACCACATGGGAAACCTTAGTCATTGCCCCTTGCATGTACAATAACTATTGTCCATTGTAGCATTACAGTAAGAGAACTGGTTTGGAGGTCAAGGGAAAATAAACACAATTAAACACACGAAAGTAAATGACCTGTTTTATTCTGTCCGTTGCAGTAGCTTTAATTTGAAGTAATACTACCACACATTTGCGCTCCTAAGTTGACATACCACCGGTCTCTGTATATTTTTCAATTCATTGACTGACCAATCAGTTATCACAATTTTATTATGCCAAGTCTCAAACAAATCCATATCGGTCGGTCCCACCCAAAATGGTTCCTCGGCTCACATTTTTGGTCCCAATCCTCCAGTTTCGATTCACATTGCTAAACAATATAGAATATGCAAAGTTTGCACAGAAAGGTCTGAACCGAGATTCGAACCCACAACATTTGACTGTGAGACAGACATGCTAACCACTCCCATACCAGCATGCCTCGTTTTATTCTTCAATTGTATGTTATTTGTTTGCGCATGCTAACAAGTCTGAAGAGCCAAATCCTGGAATCGCTGGCAGAGGAAGTCATCCCCATCGACACCACCGCCACAAGGTATTCGCCTCAGCCTGGTCAACCTGTAATGGATACGCGAGTGAGCGCCGGGAGCCGCGCAAATGCACTTCTTGAACAATGCACTTATTTTATCGTTCCGCCCCATGTGCCGCGACTCCTCCATCACGCCTCGCCTCTTCTTCAGCCTAAGCACTCACCGGTCGTGGGCGCGCACCTGGGAAACCACAACGCCTCTGCAGACCACAACAGAAGAGAGGTGGTGACACACTTCGATTTACTCTTACGCCTCCACTCCATGTACTCCGGCTTGTTTTGTTCAGCTCTCCCCTTGTCCATTATGCGCTAAAAGCCTTTCAATGTATGTGTTTTTGCTCAGCCAAGAGACTCCAAGAGCAGGCCGACGGGAGGAACAACAGACTCTGGTTACGTTTGAAAGAAAGTGAGTCACCTTTGGAGGAGGGCTGGGGAGCTAGCTGTCTTACTCCTTTTATTCCACTGACCCGACTCCCTCTCGCTCTACGGCGAGGCTTTTGCGGCACTCTGCTCATTGAACCAGAATACGTTGCGCGCTGTTGCTGATAAAAATAGGTTGGATATCAGATGCCTATTTCTCATCAGCGTGGTCAGCGCATGCCTTTTTTTCCCCCCACAATGCATATAATGTGAAATTCCCCCTCATCTTGTGTTTTTAGGTCCAAAGAAAATGACTCGCCGTGGGACAGGTGGACGTCCCCCTCTGTGCATACTATCCCTCACGCTACAGAGGAAGTGGAGGAGGAGAGGTAGTCATTTCCCCATGGCGGAGCTCATTAGATGCAAATTAAAGTCGCTTTTTCTCCCCTTTTCGCCATTCTAGCAGGATTTATAAGTGTGTGGAAATTAAGAGGCTGTCAAGCATTTAATTGAAAACAAGCTAAACCTAAGTGGAAACTTAACTTACATAATGCTGGTATTTGATGTGTTTCGTAGCCTGGAGGACTCGCGGATGCACACAGTCACAACCATCACCACCATCAGGTAGGAAATAAAAGAGTTTTCAAAGTTGGATACTCTCCAGGGGAATTTATGGAAATGAGTGGGAAGTAAGGGAAATACACTCAAATCAAATATCAGATAAGTGCACCCTGCGTGCGACATCTGGGTTTGATTTTAAAACCCGGGGATTACACTGATCGCCAGCAAATTTTAATCAGACATGACTTTATATCTCCCTACACATTTTTAGATGTTGATTTCAAATATGCCCTTACGTTTTTCCCCCTAGAACATTAGATTTTCGAGATATTTTCTTTTTTTGTTTGTTTGTTTAGAAGTGTGGCCAATAAAAGCTTGCTCGCTCAATACAGATTTTACCCTGCATTGTAATTGATAGTTGTGACGCATCAGAAAAACACACACACACACACACACACACACACACACTATAGAACCTAAACCTTAAATCATAAATATTACAAAATACAGTATATTCCTAGATTAGATCAGGCTTTACACAATTTCACAGGAGCACTTTGAAACAGTAATTCATGCCTATGTCACATCCCAGCTGAATTTCTGTCATGCACTTTACTTTGGAGTCAGCCAATCCTCCATTAAGCGTCTCCAGTTGGTCCAGAATACTGCTGCTCGCCTCTTGACTGGTACCCCTAAGAGGGTTGATTTTTTTCTTTCACTTTGATTTTTTTTCATTCTATTCATGACGCAAAATAGCTTGATAATCCACATGTAATATCATACATCCATATCGTGCACCTTGAAATTTCCCACTCAAACTTCCCGCTGAACATTTTCCAGACATTTTCTGCCTTTTTGCAACTTGAGGTCGAGATAAACTCTTAGTTCATGATCAACTGACAGAATTGTCAAAGTCACCCACTTGGTCAATAAATCCCTGGCCTCTGCGGGGACGAGTTAGATGGGAAAAAAAAACCCAAACAAACAAATCCCCGCTTGCTGGAACGTGCCCAACATATTGACGGCTCCAGCCGACAGTGAAAGTCTAATCCGGCTCTCTTTCATATTCCAGGGAGACCTACGGCGAACAGGAGGGGCTGTCGATGGATCGGTGAGTTCATGATCTTGTGAAAGTTTGGTCTGTTTGCTCTGCTGGTCTTCTCTTCTGCTCTAATGCGCTTGCAGTCGAAGCTCTTTTATCAGTCTGGTGTTGTTGTTGTGCAGGACTATAATGTTGGCTTTTCCAGGAGCATTTTACATGTTTACTTTAGCACGTTAGAGTCAGTCGTATTTTGAGAATTCTTCTATCTGTATGTAAAAATAAACAAAAGGATTGGGCCGTTACAACCGTGGAAAGTGAAGCTTTCTTCCAATCTCAACCGTTTGTGTGGCCTTGTCATTGTGCACAATTGATATAGCCTTGGCACACAAGCCTATGAAGTTTCAGGGGTGGGCAAACTTTGGGGCTGAAAGGCTTTTGAAGAAAGACAAATGGGCCAGGTTATTCGTAGATGAGTTTCATACTTGGTTCCCCTTTTCAATTTTATTTTATTATTTCTAATGCCCTGTGATTGGCTAGCAACCAGTCTAGGGTGTAGTCTCACTTTGACCCAAAGTAAGATGGGATAGCCTCTTACATGGATCCATTTAATTCACCAATAAATTAACAAAATAAAATTTTAAAAATATATATAATCTAGCCCATGGCCCGTTGGACCAGTGGTTAGCGCGTTGACCTCACAGTGCAGAGGTCGTGGGTTCGATCTCGGTTTCCTGTGTAGAGTTTGCATGTTCTCCCCGTGCCTGTGTGGGTTTTCTTCAGCCACTCCGGTTTCTTCCCACATTCCAAAGACAGGCATGGCACTCTAAATTGTCCCTAGGTGTGAGTGTGAGCGCGGATGGTTGTTCGTCTCTGTGTGCCCTGCGATTGGCTGGCAACCGGTTCAGGGTGTCCCCGGCCTACTGCCTGAAGACAGCTGGGATAGGCTCCAGCACCCCCCGCAATCTTTGTTAGGATAAAACAGATCAGAAAATGGATGGTTGGATGGATATATAATCTAGCCCAGGGGTGTCAAATTCCGGTCCTGGAGGGCCGCTGTCCTGCATGTTTTCCAAGTTTCCCTGTTGCAACACACCTGATTCAAATGATCAGATCATCAGCAAGCTCTGCGCAAGCCTGACATTGAACCTGTTCATTTGAATCAGGTGTGTTGCAACAGGGAGACTTGGAAAACATGCAGGACAGCGGCCCTCCAGGACCGGAGTTTGACACCCCTGGTATACAAATTTGTCAATTTTACAAATATTTTATTTGATTATTGGCAAAAAAACAAAATGGACATTGTCCATATACTGTAGTAAAGGCCTTGTTGGGGTATATCATCAGAAATCTTTTAATTTTCTTCCACCTCTCTACCGTAGTGCAATTTCTTCTTGTTTCTCCCACACAATTACGATTCTCCAGATGTCAGATTACCAATGCGCGTTAGAGGTGTCTCTTTGTCAAACGTCCTCACCATCAAGCAGCTCGACATTAACCGGCGCTGACAGAAAATGATTATCTTTCTGAGTTGCACTGAGCAGATGCAGCCTCGTGCGTGTGTATCATCATCATGTCACCCCTGATTGAGCGATGAGACTAACGATGATGCCCTGTCTGACACCAGGACCGTGCTCGTGGAGGCCCCGCGAACCCCCACACCAGAACCCGACACCAAAAAGTGAGAATCATTTCAATCAATTTGACAACTAATATCCATGTTGTCTGAACTCATCTTCATCCTGCGTGCTCATTGAAGGCCCTTCGTGTACGTGAAGGAGTATGTCGACACGACAGAGATGTCCTCCCATAATGCCACAGGCTCACTCAATAGGTATGTTTTATTTCAGTGATTGATAAAAAAAATCTTGATGAATTATTTTGGCACACATCCTGACTGTCTTGTGTCTATGGCTCTTCCAGCTGGTCCTCTTCTTACTCCAGGTAATTACCTCCAACAAGCATCACTTTGGCTGATAGTTACTGAATCCCCCACTTGAGGTTTACTGTCAAACTAAACATAAAACAAAGAGAATTACAATTGTAAAGAAAGAGAGAGAGAGAAAAAAGCTCAGGGTTCATCTGGGTTTGTTCAAGGTCGCAAATGTTCTCCAGCCGTTCACCAACAGATTTAATGGCTTTCCTTGTCGCAAGAAAATTTTGAACATGTTCACAAGTCCTTTGCGACAAGAAAAGCACAGGCGAACGCCTGGAAAATGTGGAGAACGTTTGCGACCTTGAAGGACCCTGTCGAACCTTGACGAAACCTGACAAGAACATTCACTCCCTACTAGCAACATTGAAAAACAATGTAACAACAATCAAGCACTGAACTTATCTAGATGATATATATGAATAAATAAATACATCTACATATTTATTAAAAAACAAAACTAAAGCCAACCGACCGACCAAGACAGAATCGTTGTTTATTTCTCCCCCCGAATTGCAGCCTATGTGATTGGAAAATTACATTTATTTACATTGCGACGTCAATTTGAATTTGATTAATTGTTCAGCCCGAGTGCGTTTAGCTAAATGCTAATAAACAATGCTATTTGAACACGAACAGTGCAGCGAGTATAATATTACTCACAGGCACACAATCTTTATCCTCTGTGAGTAATTACTAATATTAATGTGACTTACTGGGCAATTGTGACCCTCTCCTTCGTCTTAACCATATGTCTCGAGTATACTGCCGCCAGGTGGCCAAAGCATGCACCATAAGGAGTAACACAATGTCCAAAAATGTGGCAAAAACTGTTATATTCTAGAAACAAGAAACAATGTAATAACATCATGACTGTGTGTTTTCAAGAAAGGTCATTATAGAGTTCTCTTTTTCAAAAAATAAAAATAAAAAATTCAAATAGTGAATTTTCTGGCGCACGGTCACGGAACAAATTCAACTCAAACTGAGCTAATTACGAACATATGTAGAATTCCTAGCATCCAATTATATATATCCTAGCATTTATTAATGCCCCCCCCCCCAAATCTTTTTATCTGTGTGTCTTCCACCTGCAGCTCTTTCTCCTCCCCCTGCACGTATTGTGGACAGCTGGTGGGCAACGATGCCAAGATCACCATAGAGCACCTTAACATTAACTGCCACCCGCATTGCTTCAAGGTACGTTTGGGTCATTATTTGATACTTTTCTCACACTGTAGAAATGTGACTTTTCCTTCTTTCAACACGTTTGTAGGAGTAGACTGATCATTCTCTCTGTTTTCAAAGAAGAAACTAAGAGAATAAATCAATCAATAAATAAGAAGACTTCACAACACAGTTTGACACTAAGAAAGGGGAAAAAATGTCTTTCTTGGCCAGTGACTTCCTGCAGGCCGAGCTGGTTGCTTGGCAACCTTCTGACGACAGTAATATTGCGGTTCCCAGAAAGTGGCATACACAGAGAGATACAAATATGAAACCCCATTGTGCCACTTGGATACTTCTCATTCAGCTTTGCTCCAAAACATGCTTTAACTCTGTATTTGTTCATATTTCATGTTCACTCCGGAGGCTCTATTTTTGACATAAATCGACGTGGCAGAAGCGGGTCAGAGCACTGTTGGGTAATTTTGCCGATGTGTGCGGATCTGTGGGTGGCGGGCTGCATCACTGTGGGTGTGTTAGAAAATGTGCCTGGAAACAAAACTTGGAAGTTTAAAGCACCATGTGTGCTGTTTGTGCTGGGACTTCAATTCAGTAAGCATCTAAAGCAGGGATCCCCAACCGCCGGTCCGCGGCCCGGTACCGGTCCGCAGGGCATTTGGTACCGGGCCGCACAGAAAGAACTTGCCTTAATTTCGTTTTATTTATTTCGGAATATGAAAGCTGTTTTATTTTGAAAAATTACCGGATTCTCCATTACATCCGTCTGTGTCACGCTTGACTCACGTCAAGCCACGCTTCTCCGTCACGTGACCGATTACGCTTGAAACAAAACGCTGGAGCTCGCACCGTCACGTGACCGATTACGCTAAAAACAAAACGCTGGAGCTCGCAAAGTGAGTAAAAAAAACTGCTGGAGATCGCAAATGACGGCGGCCTTAAAAGTACGTTCGAGACAACTGGATTAAAGTTATGGCTGTATACTCTGAGATCGCCACAACAGCACTGTTGCTATTTCCGACATACTACCTGTGTGAGGCGGGGGTTTTCTGCAGCAACGCACCTAAAACAAAATTATGAAGTAGACTGGACATAAACCACACACTTGAGGTGTCATTGTCTCCTATTACCCCGAGATGGGACCGTCTGGTTGCAGAAAATCAAGCTCGGGGCTGCGGTGAGTCGTCATTTTCATGCAGGCAGAAGCGGGTCAGAGCACTGTTGGGTAATTTTGCCGATGTGTGCGGATCTGTGGGTGGCGGGCTGCATCACTGTGGGTGTGTTCAATTCTTCAATTCAGTAAGCATCTAAAGCATGGGCTGCTATTAGATTCTGACAGTATTTGATAACTGTGAGAAAAAAAATATTGTAGTATTTATCCATCCATCAGATTTCAAATGTGCTCATCGTCACACGAGTTGCAGGCATGCTGGTGCCTATCCCAGCTGTAGCCAATTGCAGAGTGTTCCAAGAACCTGCCATGCATGTTTTTGGAATGTGGGAGGAGTATCCGGCTGGCATACCCAGAGAAAACCCATGCAGGCACGGGAAAAACATGCAAACTCCACACAGGAAGGGCAGAGCTGGAATCAAACCCTTCACCTCTGCACTGTGAGGCTGACGTGCTAACCAGTCGACGACCGTGCTACCCTATTGTGGTATTATGTATTAGAATAACAGCTCTGAAATGTCCTTTAAATTTTTTTTCCTATTAAAGACAATCTATTTTCTTTTTCAACAAAATATTGAATATTTGATAGTTAAGAAACGTTTAAATAAAAAAAAAAAAACGTTGAAATAAATAAGTAAACATCCTTCTGTTTCAATCCAATTTTCCCCATCATCGCTGAGCTATTTTTAGAACAGACTTGTGGGCTACTTATGTTGCGTTGCCTAACTAGTACTCATCTGCGGGCACCATATATATATTTTTTAGGACAAAGCACATTAATCACCAGAATAATAAAATGCATCCACGTTTGCGCCGTCTCTTTCATCTTGCTCCCTCCCTCCTCCTCCGTGCATAACTGCTCACCCGTCCCCTCTCTGCACGTCCAGAAGGAAAGGGGGAAAAAGCGACAGGCCCCAATTATCTTCAAAGAGACTGCCCGTTTACTCAACTCTGCAAGGAGCCAATCATATTGTGCCCCATCAGCTCATTACCAGTGACAGACAGCATTAGCAGTTATTGAAACCTCAACTTTTTAAAATCACGATAAACTGTCAAACTGGTAATTAGCCCCTGCCTAGCAGGGACTTGTTTATATGGCAGGCCATGTAGGAGTTATGGTTTGCCCTCAGGGGCCCGGTTATCATGATGATAACCACATAAATGTACATCAAAAATCACGGTTCCATTTAAGAGAATGTTATGTCGCTTTTATTATGCTTTAATTTGGACCTTGGTTTGGAGGTTGAGGTTTGATTGATATTCAGTAAAGTAAGGGAACAATTAATGGTGGGACCTTGAGTTGTTTGAGGGATCTCAATCATTCGAAGGTGGAAATGTGACAAATTGTACCACGTTGCATGCATCCCGAGCCTTTGCCAGTCATTTCGTCATAACTAGTGTGTTTCGAGGCAAAGAAATGAGTACTTGAAAATATGTAGAAAAATACATTTTGTCATGACACCCTCCCTATTTTTCAGTGTGCCTCGTGCTGGAAGCCGATGGGAGACCTCATCGACAACATGTTCCTGCATGGAGGCAAAGTCCACTGTGAAAGCTGCTATTCTGCAGCCTTCGATTGATCGCAGCGGCTCGTCATTTGCATTTAAAGTGAGAAGCGGCCTTCTTCCGCCAAGTTTGGACTGCTTCAATGCAAGAAAGATGGAGGTTTGGGGTGAGCCGCGAGACTGTAACGAGCAATAAAAATAATTACTTCCGATTCTTTTCACGCAAGACAAGATTTTCATTGGCAAAACATGTTTGTGCTCTTCCTCCTGCTGGTGAAGTTGTAACTAAAGGATTCGTCTGTGCATCAGATACAATTAAGCCCAAATGTGTTTGTATAGTGACCAAATTTCAAGTTTTACATTTTCATTTGCTGAAAGGGTGTCTTGTCGCTGGAAATGAGAGTGGCAGAAGACTCTTAAGACGTTAAGAGACAATGCATTTGCCATTTTCATTACTGTTTGCCCAATTCCACTTCCTTCTCAGTAAATGCATCTCAAATATTTAAATAATTCCGAACAATACGCAAGGATTGTGCTCGAAGGTACATTTTTAATTTTATTACATTTTCTACTTGAAACTTGGTCAGAGGATGTTTCATTTGGGGCTTAACTGCAAATCATATTCAATAAGACTGCCACTATGGGGTACAATATTTATATTTACTTTGCTTAAATGTGACTTTCAAAATACCATTCTAAACCTGCAATGATTCAAAAAAAATGTTCACTTGTGTGATGCTTATTCACAAAATAAAACCTTTATCCTGGTATAAAAATGTAACAAATATAGTGTGCTTGTTTGCGTGTTGTATAAAAGAAAAAAAGAAGCTCAGCTGAATTGCACATATTGCACCATATCATACCATAGGTAGCAAACTGATGAAATATCAGCTAAGTAACGCATTTTCCTTGCATTGTTGTGTAAAACATTGGCAGAGCAAACTATGATGCTACTTATTAAAAAAAGGGGTAAAAATAAGCTCATTAAATCCAGTGGCTACTGTCCTGATTGACCGCGCGCGCGCGCACACACACACACACACACACACACACACACACACACACACACACGGCAGACTCAATTTGAGCTCGGCTTCACTCCAATGAAAACATGTCTCCCCCTGAGAATGACAATGCGCGCCTGCAGAGTAAATTTGCTGTACATAGTTGAAAGTTAATGCTCAGCACCTTGACATTGTTGAAGTCAAAGGATGTGCCTTGTAAAACAACAAAATCAAATAAACTGCCCGTGCGGGTTACATCAGTTTTAGGCGCAGGTGCAAATCAGGAGCGTCCTTCAATCCCTCATTAACAAAAATAAAATAAATACATTTGTGTCTGCATTCTGTGGAGCACATCTGGACTCCTGGATGTCCTCCACCCTCCTTGGACTGTTTAAGGCCAACGTCAGTGTTTGCCTCTCGCTCGGCTTACGGCGATTCTTTGGATGTGCTTCCACAAAAGCGCAGGATTCGACTCGTTGGCTCTTATCAGAGACTCCAGGCCCTCCGCTTGGTCCAGACTCTGCCAGTAGTCCTGAGGCCACATTTGCAACCATCTGCGGACAGATACGTCAACATTAAACCCGTCACAAAGGATGTTTTAATTAGGCGTGGGGATAATAAATTCGGCTATTAAGTGATCATTAAGACTGTTGTGTGGATTAATCTTCTTGAAACAGTTAAGGCAAAATGGAGTACGCTGCTCGGCTGCAACCAGCGGAGGCGCTGTTGGTTCAATCTTAACTACTTTGCTGTCATACTAATATCAATCACGTTCAGAATTTTTTTTTTATGTACAGTAATCCCTCGCTATAACGCGGTTCACCTTCCGCGGATTTGCTGTTTCACAGATTTTTTTAGTGCAGTTCTGTAATGCTTTTTTTTTTTTTAAACAGTGAATTGTGTTCTGCATCCTGATTGGCTAAGGGACTGACCAACGTGAACAGTCTCTGCACCTCGTCTCTGTACAGCTTGCCAAATTACCTTTGCAAATTTTTGGTCTTTGGTTTCATCGTATCAGTGTCTGTCAAGGAGGGGAAGCTCAATTTCGGCCTACATCATAAAATGTGTCCGTTTATTTATACGTGAATTATACTCTCCGTTCCTTTTCAAGAAAATGATCTGTGACCCTGTCATACCAACAAGGCGTCTTTTCCAGGGACTTAACTAGTGTCCTACAACTACAGCAACTACAATAAAACCCACCAGGAACAAAAGATTAATTTGTCGCTAGTCGTTTTCAACAAAGAGAGTGTCGCTAAAATGATTAGAAGAAGTCTCCAGTTCAACTCAGAACAGAATGAGAATTGAAAAATGCTCCCACGGATGCCTACACCAAAAAAGGTCAATCAAAAAGAGATTCAGTCTCAGACAGATTATCCAATCATCATGCAGAAAAGCTGAGCGTCCGGGCCAGCTCATAAACGGCAACTGTCCATAGACTCCCAGAGACGCTGAGCGTCCGATGGGCGAGACAAAACCAGCATTTATCCAACGACTCGTCCCGTTTCAATGCATTGGGACAACAGGCTCGGAACTCTCTAGACGATCAGCGTCCACACAGTTTAAAGCACAGTGAAGCTGCGGGAATAAATGAGAAGAAAGTCGCGTCATAACCAGTAATAAGAAGCTGATTTGGAACAAAAGTTGAGCGCGTTGTAGCGCATATTTAGTCAATGACATGTACACATTGTACGTACACACATATATTTGATCACTTACTTTTTGACATTTTAGGGGAAGCTGAGCTTCCCTTGCAGTCTTAGAGCAATCGCCTCTGCATTGTATACATAGTTCAGTATTGTATAATAACTGTAAAAAATAAAGCTGACTATCAAGTAACAAATACAACTTTATTGTCAAATGTGCTGTATGTGAAACATACAGCACATTTGAAATTTTTTCCCTCTCACATTTTTTTGCTTTTTTTTAAAAAATAAATCCTACTTCACGGGTTTCACTTATCACGGGTTCTTTTTGGAACGTAACCCCCGCGATAAACGAGGGATTACGGTATCCGGAACACCACATGCAATTAGGTCATGTTTAGAGAGTTGTGTAACAAATTATGGACAGTCCAGAATACAAGCTTTTATAGGTCAAACTTCAAAACACAAAATGAAAATATTGCAAAAACCTTAAGTGCGCAGAAAAAGTAAAAGTTAAGACATTTTTAAATCAGCGTCAAAAGTGCGTTTAGGGACACATAAGACCACCTCTAATTAAAATTTACTGTTGGCCAGTGCAAGTGAAGTGTCCGGAAGTGACTCACTCATCATCTGCAGGCAGGTCTTGGACTTCTCCATACCCTGGGCTGGGCAGAGGGCATCCCATGTGGGCATTGGTAGCCATCTTTGGTTTTGGAGGCGGGTTTGTCCTCGGAGCTTTTCTATTGGCTTGCTCCGCAGCCAGCCGTGCGTTCTCCCGATCGCACACGTAACACTCAAATCCATTCAAGTAGTTGGGTTTGCTCATGTCGTTAACCCCCCATTCGCGGGCCTCCAGAGCCTCCAGCAAACGAGCATTTGTGATGCTGCGGATGTTTTTGAATTCCAAATATTTGGCATATTCATCGTCGTTCCCATCGAGAAATTTGAGGAAGTCGGCGAGAGCTTTAGGTGAGACGAAGTCATCGATTATGATGACAGAGTGGTTGTTGGGCATCCAGTCCGCCACAACAGGGGAGCCCCGGTACACGGGAACGCAGCCCTGGTGGAGGGGCCTCCATAGCTTCTCGGTCATGTAGTCCGCACAGCGGCCGTTCTCTAGTGCCAAATGGAACTTGTAGCGGCCCACAAACCTCATGAAGGAGGCCTCCTCACCTGTGGCGGTGGACGTGTCTTCGAGATGTGCTGGCAGAGCTTTGTTGTTCAGACATTTGCCATAGGAATCCACCTGAAGAGGGGAAACGGAAGACAGTGAACCCCTGAATTGTCACAGTTCACCATTCGTGAATGTTCACACTCGCATGTTTTGTGAAACCCATCATCTGGTATTCGCCAAAACGTCATTTTGTAAAACAGAGAGCTGCTCCTTGGGCATTGACTCTGAAAAATAATGAATTGTAGTGTTGGAGTGGGGAGAGGTGGCAAATACCTTATTTTTCAAAAACTTTCAGTCCTATTGTAAACAAGCACTAACACTGACTTTTATTAAATATGACGAGCGCATTACCTGGATGTATTTCATTAGTTCTCTGACATATCTGTCTCTGTCGGACGGTACGTCACAGTGAGACTGCATGTAGAGTACAGGGGCCAGGCCTTTCAGCCTCAGATGGTTCTTCTCCTTCAGGGACACCACTGTCGGCTCTAGCAGGTAGCTCAGAGACGGCAGCCACTGCAGGGTCAAAGGGTAATCGGACTCCCGGCGGAATGTGGCAGTGTAGTTAAACATCCTGATACCCGGCCCGTGCGAGAGGAGGTAGTTGTTCATTGGGGACTCTTCGTGGAACAGAGCCCATGTCTGGTGGCGGAGACGAGGGAGCGGTGCCTCATAGGCCCGGAAGTCCGTCCCATAGAAGATGATGGACGATGTTCTTTTGTACAGCTGGACCTTACGATCAAATAATTCAAAAGCTTACTGCTTCCACAAAGTTGCACACACACATTTACTTTAAACAGCACACAAATAGAATGCAAGTGAAAGCATAATGATGGATAAAAAGCATCATTTGAGAACCACTACTACCTTGCGGTTACTAGTGGCCAGGCACGACGATGTGGCACAGTCAATTCGTTCAGTGTCGCCAGGAAAATGTGGGAATAAGCCTCCGCTCCACCACAAGATAATAGGCAGCTCCTTGTTGCTGCGCTCGTCTTGGTTACCAGGTCCACGGTACGAGCTCATAGGGGCAAACTCCATATCTGCAAGAGCACTCTGGGGCTTAAAAGGTCCCTGGTCCACTGCATCATAGACATGTGGTTCATCGGGGAAGGACGCGAAGGAGACCCACACCCACCACAGGACAGAAAATAGACCCAAACATAAACAGGATAACAGTCTGCCCCTCTCTGCCATCTGAAACAGCAGAAAGCAACATACAGCACAAGTTGGAAAGTTATCATTAGGTACAAACATATTATTCATACTGCTCTCTCGAGCCTCATGACTTTTTGACTATGGTTATGCAAATGAAAGATTTTGATGCTCCGTCTTAAAATTAAGTACTGAACACACATAGCAGCATGTAAAAGTGTGGAAACAAACATTTCTTACCTTCGTTACCGCTGGAAGCGCATGGAGGCTCCGTCTTCTTACGTCAGCAAATGTAGAATTTAATAGGTTCTGTTAAAATACTGTCATATACTGTTGTGAGTAAGCGTTAACGGGATGCTATTTGGTTGCATCGAACGATGCAGCTGGAGAGAAAGAAAAAAAAACACAGCTGGATTCTTCCTTTACGCGTGCGCAGCATCTCTTCTTCAGGTGCATCAGAAGCAGTAAAGATACACACTGCCATCTACAGTTTAAAGGCGGAACTGCAAATATAGTTGGCTATACGTCGAGTATTAATGTTGTTTATAAATTCGACGTTGAATTGATTTTCAAGTCAAGAAAAACACACACATTTGATTTTGTGACAGATTTTCCCGATAAATTAAAATCTGTGTATGTAAAATAGTTCATTTTGGTTTTTATCCATTCCATTCCATTCACTATATACAGGCTTGCCCGGTCTCTATCCCAGCAAATAGTGCGTGTGTGTGTGTGTGTGTGTGTGTGT